GAAGTCAGTAATTCAGAGGAAGCAGGAGACGATTGAAAACACTCCAATGAAAGGCCATGAAGCCTATAAGCTGGAGGTGGGAAATGTTGGGCTCTTGAAGAAGCACCTGCAGCATGACTGCCAGCTTAGGTCCAGGAGGTGTTTCAGTGGGAAGAGGCAACTCTGAGAACCACAGAGATGAGTGAGGTGACGATTGGGAAATTCGTGAACAGCCAGGTCAGGAGATGTATTGGTTATTTTTCTCACTGCTGATAGAAGCAGCTAAGGAAGAGAGGACAGTACATCATGGCAGGAAAGGCATGGTGTTCTCTCAGGAGTGCTGGACATGTGAGAATCAGGAAACAGAGAGCTCAGGCTGGAGTCAGAAGCCCATGTCACTTTCAGGGCAGAAGCAGAGAGCTCAAGCTGGAGTCAAAAGCCCATGTCACCTTCAGGACCTGCCCACAGAGATCTACTTCTGCTAGTTAGGCCACTGTCCTGAAGCTTTCACAGCCTCCCCAAGTAGCGCCACTTGCTGGAGACCAATTGTTCTAACACATCTTATATTCCAGCCATGACAAATGGAAAAAGAATTATGTTGTCCAAACGGAGAAAGCAGAAAGCTACCAAAACAAACAAACAAACAAACAAACAAACAAACCCTGCTATCAAAATGTCTTCTCTTTTTTCTCCCTGTTGGCTTTCCACAAAGAAATACTAAGTGGGGGGATACTAAGTAGGTATCCACGCAGCTGAGCTAGGTGCAGGGCTGCAAGGAACAGATACACAGGGCATGTGGTAGAGAGCTGGGCATTCCTATACACTTGGGGCTGTGTGTCCGGTAACACCCAGCTCTCCATGCCAGCCCCCATGTCTTGCTTTTGTCTTTCCCTGAATTCTTCACTACTCTCTAAGTGCCCCAGGCACTTGCCTTAGAGCAAGTGTGCTGACAGTTCTCTGCAGGGCCTTATTAATTTTAGTGTCCTCAAGGGATATACAGTGATCATCTCCAAGAGCCATGTCCCATGATGCTTAGGGTACTGCCTGGCCCATCATATCCCAAACTATGGGAAAGCCTAGTGTTAAGGTTCTGGAGGCTCTTAGGCAGAGTGTGACTACTCTTGACTATTGATCTGCTTCCTCTGAGGCTATATAGAACTGGAGACAGAGGATACTCAGGGGTGCTCATTTGAGATAGTTCTGGGGGAGGTCTCTTAGCTTGTATTCCTTCGGAAGTAGCTGTTGCTACGGCAGTTGATCTGGATGTGATCTTAGGAAGCAGGAGTTGGAGCTGGGCTAGTGGGACCTACCAGGACATCATTCTCAGAGCATAATGGCCATTATCTTCTTCATACCAGCTCTGACTTCAGTGTATTCTCAGTTCCTACAGAGGAAGGTGCATTCCTACAGAGGGTGGAGTTGAGGATATTTAGCTGTGGGACCCTTGGAGTGGAAGCATGGCTGGCAGAGGTGAGATACTGCTTGGTGGTGATCTTTGATGGTTATGGCTCTTGGTCAGACCTCTGCTTCCTGATTGCCACAGTTTAGCAGGAATCTTAAAAGTTCTTATCAAACCCGAGGCCAGTTATTGGGGTGAATACTGGAAGGTCAGAGAGACAGAACAAGCCACAGCTATCTCACCTCACCAGTTCCTCAGCTGGTCCTGTTTCCTCAGACTGGAAGCCTCTGAGTCCTCATCCCAATGGCTCTCAGCTGAACTGCTGCTCGAAAGCCTGAAGCTTAACCAGCCAAATGCTTAACCAGCCAAAATGCTTCTAGTTTCTGGTCCTCACGCCTTATATACCTTTCTGCTTTCTACCATCACTCCCTAGGATTAAAGGCTTGCTTTCTGGGATTAAAGGCAAGAGTCACCATGCCTGGCTGTTTCCAATGTGGCCTTGAACTCAGAGATCCCAGATGGATTTCTGCCTCTGGAATGCTAGGATTAAAGGCGTGCGCTATCACTGCCTAACTAGTGGCTTTTCTGTTCTCTGACCCCAGATAAGTTTATTAAGGTACACAATATTTTGGGGAACACAATACCACCACACCACAGTCATATGACCAGCCACCTCACATGCCCATTGCCATGTACAAGAGCTAGCCCTGTCACCATACTTTGCCTGTTGTGGTGGAATGTTCCTTCTGAACTATTAGCCAAAGCAAACATCTCCCCACCTTAGCTGCCTATCAGGGCTTTTGCCACAACGATGGGGAGAACAACCAACCCAATTGCATACCGACGGCTCGTCCACAGAGCAGCCAGAAGAAGAGAGTCGGAGTGGCTGCAGTAGAGGTGGCTTCATTGTGTCTTCTCTGCCTACCTAGGTCAACTCAAGTCCCTCTGTTCTTTCTTAATCGGATGTGGCTTCCAAACCTTTACCCACTGCCGGCCACCCACTGCTGGCGCTCATTTCTGCAGTGTATACACTTGGTGCCTACTGCAGAGCTTGCTGTCATTCATCCTCTGCAGCATGTGGGACCTCCTCATCTCTTACCCTGGCTGACAGTGTGTGCCCTTGTTTTATTGTAGATTTATATTGTTAACCAGGATAAGCTTATGGTGAACTCAGATTCTCAGGTCCTTTTTTTTGTTAATGTCAACATATTTATTTTTGGCATATCACCCACATATTGAATTGTATCCCATGGTGAACTCTGTTATAGAGCGAGACATCATTTTACAAGCAGAAAAAAAATCCATTAAATGTTGTTCTACCTTTTTTTTATAGCATCTGAAATACCTTGCTGTAGTATTTATGTGTGCATATCACCAATATCTAGGTGACAAAAAGACTTCTGTGACTCAGACAGTTTGTAGGCCTTTGGAAATGTTTTTTGTTATGGCCACTAAAAAAATAAAACAAGGCAAAAATTGCTGTGAGGTGTCATGCACAGTAGACTTCATACTATGTAGGCTCTTCCAGCAACCTTGGAGACCAGGTGCAGTTCCCATCCTGTAGCTTTCGGGGTCTGACAATATTAGTGTGGTAATTAGTGTTGGCCCTTGCCTTAGGACCTTGGAGGGCAGCATGCAATTCTGATTCATGATGCCTCCTATCATCTTTCTCTTTTGTTTCATGTTAATATATTTAATACTAATATTAATCTATTAAAGAGTAACCCAAGGCTGTTTCCTTCAGATCTGGAGATGATCCAGGAACCAGACACGCACTGTGTTGGTTTATGGGACACAATGTGAATGCTTGGTTTGATCATTGTGTTTTGTTAGCTTCACTCCAGCCAGCATGGCTTGCTAAGAATTCACTCTCTAGGTTTTCTGTTGTACATTTACTGGTGCCTTGTGTTGGGCTGGCTGGAGCTGACTTAGATGTAGGAAGCACTGAAGGTTGGTTTCTGCCCGTCTCCCTGTGTGTTCCCCTCCCCGCCACTGCCTCTGCCTCATTGTTTCTGGGTTTCAGTCTCACCTCCCTGACAACCCCTTATATTTCTGCACTTTCCAAAACCCACCCTCACACCTTCCTGTCTGTTCACCTGAGCAACACCCCTTGCCTATCCCCTGCATTCATGTGCGGCATCTCTCCCAGTGTTCTCTCCAGACATTCTGAAGACCCTGTCCTCCGGTGGGACATGTCAGACATGGTGATTCTAATAAAGCTCTCCCTCCCCTTCTTCCCTGAGTTTCATCTCACTGGGGGCTGCTGTCTAGTTGTTAACTCCTTTGTTCTAAACTGATATGTGGAGGCTGTTTTTCTCCTGAGGCTAATGCCAAGGTTCGACCTGTCATGGCTGCTGTTGTATGTCTGTGACTGATGCATTTGTTCTGCAAGCATTTGAGTGGTTTGTGAGCCCATTTATTTCGTTCTCCACAGCATGGCATACATGTAAAGCGTTATGCAAACCCAGCTCTTCCTTGGATTAGACGGCTTCAGTGGCTCACCCTTGCCTTCCAGAGATGTACATGGAGACAACAGGTCCTATGATGCCCTAAGTGTTTTGCTTGGCTTCCCCATTGTCCTAAGAAAGGCCAGATAGCAACCTTGAAAAACAGCAGCTCCTGTAAAAACTTTGACCTACCATCTTCCTTTGAGCCATCAGAAGATGTGACAGTCACCGCACCTCCCAGGAACTCCGAGCAGGGCCAGGCCAGGCACAGTCTACATTGTATCTAATGCATGTTGACTGGGCTCCATGTCCTCACCTAAGGAGAGTGGAAGTTTCTATGGTGTTCATGGACTGCTGGGACTTACCTCTTACTCTTGAAACCGGTTTTGGTCACCCTCTCCTTTCTCACGAAGTTGTGGACACTGTGATGCTCAGCCAAGTATTGATCCCCTGTCTTTGTCATCCTTTGTTAGACAGGGGCACTTCCATTTTTAATCACACACATTCCTAGACCATATAGCTCCTTCCTCGTGACTGGTTCTCTATCTTTCCCATCCAATGGTTCATTAACCCTCGCCTTTTCACTCAGCCATAGCTAACATCTCCATAAAGCCTTTCTGACCTCTCAGGTAGATTCTGCCATCCTGTTTTTTACTCTTGTTTCATGGGCCACAGAGCAGAGACCGCTCTTGATCACTCCTGTTGACTCTGTGCGTTCTGGAGTAGAGGGCCCTCGAGGGCTTGGTGTGTTCTTGTCCTGTGCCCATCATGCCTGGCACAGGGAAAGTGCCTGGCAAGTGTAAGTTGGTTAGGAGAAGGCCTTTCTTGGACTGTGGATCGCAGGTCATTTCATCTGCAGTGCTGATATCAATGATGCTTCATGAAAATGAGCCCAGGGTCTATGCTGCTTTGTCAAGCAGTGCATTCCTGGTACCTGGTTGTGTCCTGGATACAGTGAACATGCTTTGCATTGAGTTTGTAAAGAGCCAGCAATGGTGCAAGAGCTAGCATAATGTCCTGGCAGGCACTGTAGGCCAGGAAGAGAGTGACGGAATGGAGGTGGGCCTGAGGATGTAGGGGAGGCATCTTCTTTGCCATCACCTCCACTAAGAGTCATATTTCTTCCCCAGCTGGCATGAAGGGATAGCTTATCCATCTTGATATTTGCTCCCTAGGTAACGAGTCAGACCTTGAGCTAGAAAAGAAGTACAAAGAAGATGATCGAGAAAAGGCTGCAAAAAGACCACGGGCTCAGAAAACAGAGAAAGTCCAGAAGATTTCAGGAAAAGAGGCAGGGCAGCTTTCTGGAGCCAAGAAGCCCATCATCAGCGTGGTCTTAACTGCTCATGAAGCCATTCCAGGTGACTGATGACAGGCTGCAAATGATACAGTGAGAGCCTGGAGCTCAGCTGCCCTTGGAGCAGCCTGAGGAAGGAGGGCTGGGTCAGAGCCTATGTGTTAGGTGTCTTAGTGGAGCACCATTTAGTCACCTATACATACAGAGTGATCCCAGACCCCAGGGTCTGTCATGCCTGTCTCCTCAGCCGACTCCGTCTGTGCCTCTCCCCAGCCCCTCAGCTGGTGGCATCCCTGTCGTATTGCAGTGACTGCCTCCTTGGTGGGAGCTGCCTACTCAGTCCACACAAGTGCAGCAGCTGCTCTGCAGGCCCAGGCAGACACTGCCTAGCTTCTTCACATTTGGATGGGATTCACTAAGGATTTTTCAGTACTGGATGTTTCTATTTATTTTTCCTTTTCCATGAACATAGCTGGTAGATATGCTATATTTTCTTTTTTAAAAGGTCACTTGTAGGAAAGACTATTTTAGACAAAAATAGTGCCTTGGAGTTTCTATTTCTGTGATAAAATAACATGGACAAAAGTGCTTGGGAAAGAAAGGATTTATTTCAGCTTGCCGCTCTCAGGTGGCACTCCATTCCAGAGGGAAGTCAGGGCAGGAGCGCGAGGCAGACACCTGGAGTCAGGAACTGAAGCAGAAGCCATGGAGCAGTGCAGCTTACTGGCTGGCTCACTCATGGCTTGCTCAGTCTGCTTACTTACTTACTTTCTTTTTTTTTTAATTTTTGTTTTGTTTTTTGTTTTTGTTTTTGTTTTTGAGACAGTCTTTCTCTATGTAGCCTTGGTTGTCCTGGAACTCACTCTGAGCACCAGGCTATCCTGGAACTCAGAGATTCACCTGCCTCTGCCTCTGCCCCTTGAGTGCTGGAATGAAAGGCATATGCTACCATGTCTGGCTCAGCCTGCTTTCTTACACAAACCTGCCCATTGTTGGCATTGTTCACAGTGAATCAGGCTGTCCCACTTCAATCCCTGGTCAAGAAAGTTCTCCAGAGCTTGCTTACAGGCCATTGTGATGGAGGCATTTTCTCAACTGAGGTTTCCTCTTCCCAGATGACTCTAGCTTGTGTCAAGTTGATGTAAAATAAGCAGTTTGTGATAGATTTCACACTATCATAAAAGTTGACATAAAAACTAGGCAGCACAAACAGTTTGTGATAGATTCCAAACTATCATAAAAATTGACATAAAAACTAGCCAGCACAAACAGTTTGTGATAGATTCCAGGCTATCAGAATGTTTTAAATTTTTTATGCATTGGAGGTATTAGCTCCGATACAGTGAGGACGGTGTCATGGTTTTCAGAAGAGCTGCTCCCTTTAAGCAGCTATTTTAGGGCCGATAGGAGCCACTCAAATTCAAAACTCTGAGTATCTTTTCTCCTTTATACTTGACTACAAAGTAAGGTGTTCAGGAGAGAAAAGGCCATATAAAATTAGGCTACTTGAACTTTCTGGAAAGTCACTCTACCTGCCCTACTCAACTTTACAGAAATATTATTGTGGATATGGAAAATCCCAGAGGACAGTTTCCTGTTCTCAGTGGTTGCTAGAGAAAATTTCCACAATCTTTCTTAAAAAAATTGTGGTAGTATTTTGAGATTCTAAGAGGGTAAAAGCATAATCATTTTCCTTTGGGGTTCTAGAAACACAAGTGGTTAAAGAGGAATCTTTTACACACTTGCCCTTGACCCCCACTCCACTTACACAGTGACACAATTCAAACTTACACATATATACATTCACATTCATGCATTCATACTCATACGCTCCCATGCACACACACACATACTAATACACACTCCCACACATTCCCTCCAACTCTGACACCTACTCATCCTCACACATGTGCATGCACCCTCACACACTTATGACCTACTCACACAGACTCATGCACAAACACACATACACACTCACACACAATCACTTTCACACACATAAACTCATATTCACACACACATACACATACACTCATGTCCACACACATACCGAAACCTACATGTTCACATACCTACACATATGCACCTAGACATTCCCCCCCACAAAGTGTACCTGCTCTGTATGGTCTTGGGTCAGTTTATGACAGAGAATAAAGCAAAGGTGACCCTGTGGTTCTTCTCTTTGAACTTCAATTTCTGTTCATAGGAAGAGAATCAGAGACATTGGGGTGCTCACATTCCCTTTTTAGTTGATTGCTCTGCCACCCCGTGCTTCCTTGATGCAGCTTTCTACTTGCTTTAAGTTTAACAGCTGTGGCTTTGTAGAAATTTTTGCAAGTGATAGGTGTCTATTTGCCTGTTCCATAATTCGATCAAGTAAAACTGTACTTCAAGAAGACATTTGGGCACACTACTAGAAAAACTGCATACACACACACACACACACACACACACACACACACACACACACACACACAAATTAAATGTGTTATCTGAATAAGAAAACCAGTGTGTTGCATGGAAGTCCTGTAGTAAAGTGTCCCCAGGACCTGCTGACTCTGCTGGACAGGGTCAGGGCTATTGCTAGCACCTCTT